AAAAGAGAAGGAAAATCATATGAGAACCAAAACATGGATAATAAACGATAAAAACCCTATAACCCGAGCGCTTTTGAAAGGTGGGCCTTTCTTCTTCAGGGGCAGAACATGACACAAAACATCTATTGTGTGCGCATGCGCTAAACTATCTATAGTGTGACTCGGGGCCTAACTCACAGAAGATTCCCTCTTTGTCCCTGAAGAAGAAAGGTCCACCTTTCTAAAATGCTCGGGTTGCAGGTTTTTTATAATTTTTGTATCAAGACTTATAAACCTATGCTCTGTGATGGGCAGACAGATTCTCAAAAAACTGACAAATTTGTTGTTTATAGGCGAACTTCTACAGAAATATTAGTTTCAACTTTTTATTTTCTTTGTGAATTGCACTAAATACATGTTATAAAATTAGAAAAATATCACTTCTAAAATATAGTAGAATTAAAAATTGTTAAAACAAGGTTTAACGTGTAATTTGATAAGCAGTTGTGCACGCAACATCCGAAAGGTGCTCACCGGTTGCAACGGGTTAAGACAACAGATTACCTGTGAAAAAGATCTTGTTCTTTTGACAGATTTATGTGGTTGGAAAGAGTAGGATCCACTTTTTCCTTTAACTTTTCTTCCAGCTAAACACAAAGATTTCCGATTGTTGTTTAAGACTCATAACGTAGGTAAATTAATATTTGGAAGTATAAACGGACTTTTCTCTACGTTAAAATACTTTTACTGCGAGCTCTCGGCCCTCTTACCGGAGCCTTCATCGACCAACGATGCACTGTTGCCTGTTGGAGACTCCGATAAGAGGTCCGAATGCTCACAATAAAAGTATTTTAACATTGAGAAAAGTCCGTTTATAATTCTACACATAAAGATTTCTGTTAACCACTTAACCTTTTCCAGCAAAAAACAACTTTATTAGTGAAATAAGATCAATGCGAAGAGTCTTGTAACACGTTAAAACAGCTATTTTAAGTGATTTGACAATGATGTATTTACCTTGTGGTCTCTTAATGTACTAAATGGCCTCAGATCTTGCTTCAGTTTTACCACGGCCACTTCCATTTTCCACAGTAGTACTTCAGCAACATTTACTTTTGACACCAAAGAAATTAAATCACCTAACCAGAAACCTCTTTAACAGTACAAAATACTTGGCAATTAACAAATACAAATTTCATATAAGCTGAGTCATAACTTGAAATCCAGAAATCACTTACACCACAAAACCCAAATTTCATTAAATATTGGGATTTTTAGCAGAAAGCTACACAATGGGCTATATTGCACTCTGTCCACCACAGGGAATTGAACCCCAGATTTTAGCGTTGTACATCAGGAAACTTACTGCTGACCCACATCACATCTTATCATGTTAAAATGAAATTATAACATTTCAGGACAAGCCCTTTAACTGTATAGAATAATTTTTTTCATGCAATGTTTTAATTAAACCTTCTAAAAAAAAAAACCAGCTACTTTCGGTTTTTTTCTGAACCAACTTTATCACAGTTTTTTTTTTATACATTTGTGAGTAACAATCTTTAATATGTTTATTACAAAAACATTTTTTGACATTGTTACAACTAGAATACAGTTTTCATACATCTAGAAACAATCGACAAAAAAAAAAACATGAACTTTTTAAATTATATTTGTTATTTAAAGAACAGAGTATTGTTTGGAAACAACAACACACCAGGTACAGACAAACCTGTACCTGGTGTGTTGTTGTTTCCAAACAATACTCTAACAAACTTGTACCTGGTGTGTTGTTGTTTCCAAACAATACTCTAAAGAACTTGTACCTGGTGCGTTGTTTCCAAACAATACTCTAAAGAACTTGTACCTGGTGCATTGTTTCCAAACAATACTCTAACAAACTTGTACCTGGTGCGTTGTTTCCAAACAATACTCTAACAAACTTGTACCTGGTGTGTTGTTTCCAAACAATACTCGGCCGTTGATAAGATACTACAGACCAAGCACTGTTCCGAGGGAGTGAAACGTGCCACCTCTCCTTCTTTCAACAAGTTTTGGAAGTTCTGGATCAGACCAGCTGATGAGAGTGTCGTTGTATTTCCAATTCTAATTGAGAAATTGAATAAAACTCTGAATTGGTTTTATAAAAGCCATACTTCAAGTCATTGCCAATTACTTGATGGACACTTTGTCATAGAATAAATAAGTATCAATTACTTTTAGATGTGTCAACAGTTTAAGCTCCCAGTAAACAGTTTTAGTTCTGTGAATAGTTTCAGTTCTCAGTAAATAGTTTTAGATGTGTCAACAGTTTCAAGCTCCCAGTAAACAGGTTTAGTTCTGTGAATAGTTTCAGTTCTCAGTAAACAGTTTTAGATCTGTCAACAGTTTCAAGCTCCCAGTAAACAGTTTTAGATGTGTCAACAGTTTAAGCTCCCAGTAAACAGTTTTAGTTCTGTGAACAGTTTCAGTTCTCAGTAAACAGTTTTAGATTTGTCAATAGTTTAAGCTCCCAGTAAACAGTTTTAGTTCTGTGAACAGTTTCAGTTCTCAGTAAACAGTTTTAGATGTGTCAACAGTTTAAGCTCCCAGTAAACAGTTTTAAATATGGGAATAGTTTCAACCTAATTCCATTACAACACAGTCTTTACGGTCTAGCAAAGGGTATCTACCCGAAATGTTCCACAAAATAAAACTATAAAAAGTTTTCATTTAGACGTATCAATTAATCTTATTTTTATCCAATAGTTTCAACTCCCAGTAAACAGTTTTATATCTATGAATAGTTTCAGCTCCAATCAAACAGTTTCAGATCTATGAATAGTTTCAGCTCCAATCAAACAGTTTTATATCTATGAATAGTTTCAGCTCCAATCAAACAGTTTTATATCTATGAATAGTTTCAGCTCCAATCAAACAGTTTCAGATCTATGAATAGTTTCAGCTCCAATCAAACAGTTTAAGATCTATAAATAGTTTCAGCTCCAATCAAACAGTTTCAGATCTATGAATAGTTTCAGCTCCAATCAAACAGTTTAAGATCTATAAATAGTTTCAGCTCCAATCAAACAGTTTTATATCTATGAATAGTTTCAGCTCCAATCAAACAGTTTCAGATCTATGAATAGTTAGCATGGACTGGGACGATTAGATTCAGAAATCTTCATACATCATCAAGGATGGCACTTTTTATCATACTTGGATTAAATCCATTAAAGTATCTGTTTCACTGTTTGTACAAACAATATTAGACAAGCATTAAAAAAAAAATGTTATTCTTTTATCAAACTTCCAAATCAATGTAATAATATAAATTGAAGTAATATCTTCTAACTACTACACATATTAACAATGAGTACTTGGAGAGAAATGGAAGGTCCACAGACAGACACTTACTTTGGTAAATTGTTCTGAAGAATACGGGTTGCGTATTCCTGGAGGTACTTCTGGAATGTTTCGGCAAGGGACAGCATGGGTTGTCCAGTGCTTAGCTGCGTGCATTGCACTAAACACTTCTTATAATAAACAAACAAGTCAGCACACGAAGGCAAAACAGCGGAACCCGTTTCTGGCCGAGGCATTGGTGCCTTGCGTATATCTTCTTGGAATCTCTCGATCAGCTGTGCTAAGTTCCTGTGAATAAAGGTGTCAGTGTTTCAATAAAAATTATTTTGAAAAGCACGAAACAGATCTCATAAAACATGTAATATGTTCATCAAGAAAATCACGATTGTACTAAAACTACTATAATATTACTGCTTGGATCAGTTCTTCCAGTAAACTACTTGCTTTAACCACTAAAACAAAACAATCATCTGTATAAATGTAAATAAAATCACGATTGTACTACAACTACTATAATATTACTGCTTGGATCAGTTCTTCCAGTAAACTACTTGCTTTAACCACTAAAACAAAACAATCATCTGTATAAATGTAAATAAAATCACGATTGTACTACAACTACTATAATATTACTGCTTGGACCAGTTCTTCCAGTAAACTATTTGCTTTAACCACTAAAACAAAACAATCATCTGTAAAAATGTAAATAAAATCATGACCTATATCTCCCGATTGAAACTATACTAGCTCAATATTTTGCTATTACAACTTCGTCAGGAGCTATCAATATCCCACAAGTTTGCTGCTATATGTTAAACAAGTACAGGGATGTCTCAGTAAAACAAGAAAAGGTTTATATTCTGGCTTGTCAATGCCTTTAGTATGGAGTTCTAATTGGTTGAACAATCTGAAGCCCTTATAAAGAAAGAGAAAAAAAAAATTCTATAACTGAGAAGTCAGAGTGCCACCACATCATGTAACTCAGAGGTGTAGTGTGAGAATTAATTTAAATATCTCCTTTTGAAATTACAAGATAAAAACTTGATTGTAACTCCTTAAAAAAAAAAAAAAAAAGGTCATGACATGGAGACTTTGATTTGCTTGCATCTGTAGGGTTAATGCCATATAAGACCCAAAATCATTCAATCTTTTGTATTTATACAGAAGTTCTTAATTAATCAAAAAAAGTTTTAGAAATAAACAAAAGCCCAACACATTACTTTCGGGATAAAGGGACTGTTTGTCCTTCCTTTTCTTGTGGTCCTTTAAGCCCGAATCAATCAATCAATATGGGAAAACAGTGGCTCAAATAAACCTTTCTGTATGATGCGACTAATTATTTATAATTCCTCCTAAATGACAAAAACTCTCCAGTTTGTACAAGCACCTTCAAACTCTCCTAGTTTTTACCTTGGTACTTACTTATCCTGAGAATCGATATATATATTTAGATGAGGTTCGAAACATCTTGAAATGATTCCTTGGAAGGGGTTACTTTTAGGCTTAGCAACTGGAACCTGGAAACAGTTATTGAAATCTTTATCGCAAGTCGAAACTCTAAACTGATATACAACTAATCATTTAACTTAATCATTTGCTTCTCTGAAAATAGATTTGAGTTGAATCTTGTTTACTAAGAAAGAAAAAAAATGGTGTATTAATATATAAATCTAAGAATTTTGTTATTAAACAAAAAAGGTACATAAAGTACTAGGTAAACCTATCATAGAGAAGTGGATATATTAAGCCTTTTTTTAAAGCTATTATTTCACCAAAGAGACATACTCAAGTACTGCTAAGCCTACTGTAGAGAAGTAGCAAGATTAAACATTTTGTCTATTCTGAAATAATTAGTTGTTAAATTTACTTTATATATGTAGCTTTATTAAGCTTTTTCCATGCGTTACAAAATAATCGGGTACTTTTAACCTACTTTAGACATAATAAGGTTGAAACACATTTAAAAAAACTGTATAAAAGAAGTTTTACAGTTTGTATGAAAATATTTACAACAGATATGTTAATAAAATTTCATCTATTTAGCAAGCTAAAAGGCACAATTTTGAATTTCACATTTAAATTAGTAACATACCAAGCACATTTTTTCCATCCTCCTCCGTCTGACCACTTGGCTTACTCCATCACTAACTCTGCCATATTTCAGACGTTATCCTCCCATCTTTACACATTTCTTTCTCGATTAATGCATTCCAGGCTGATATTACATCTGACAACATTTCTGAAATAGCTCGTCTTTCTCTGAAGTGCAAGATACAACAAACCTTTTCTCGGGTCGTATTTCTGCCAATATCGACTTTTTGTTTCTTCGTGACGTCCAGAGAATCTGTAGAATTCTTCTAAAACAGAGAAGTCCATCTTCCTTCTTCAGAGCTTACGACTTGCACCGATATACAGCAGTTGTGCAAATGATTAAATAGCACCCAAAACTTCAGAATGTGTAGTAGCCTCTTGGCCTTCGTGATCTTATTTCCTGCTACCTCCAACGTTCTCCTTATTTCTCGGCTGTTACTGCTTACATTGATAATTTCAGATATTTTAATCATTCCACCCTCTTCAACAGCTTCATCATCCACGATAAATGATATGTTATTTAGTCTCTGACTGTCAATCACAATAATTTTTGTTTTCTGTCAGTTAAGTAGTAGTTCCTTTTCTATGCTCCAGCCCTTAACATTTGTCATACGAGTAACTAAACGTATATAAGAAGGACGGTGTCGCATGCTTAACTCCAGATGTCCGCTGAACTGAATCCCTTCCAGTTTGTCTTATAATCTGTTCAAACAAACAAACTGTACATATTAAGTAACATCACACACGTACTTCAATGACACCCCTCAGGATCTTAAATCATTCTCTATCGTCATGCTCTAATCTGACATATAGCAAATGAACTTGGATCAAATGAGTTGGAACACCAAGTAATTCTTGTCTCACATGATTGAATGCCTTCACATCATCAATGAAGAACTATTACAATGACTGTTTGGTTGAATCCTTTGGACTTTTGAACCAAACTCCGAATTATAACAACCCGATATATATATATATATATATATATATATATATAGCTCTTCAGCCAGCTGTATAGCTTGCTTGTTTTGGTTCTTTGATTCTTATGGGTCCTACCTTTAGGTGGATTTTGCTAGAATGGCTGAGCAATGAAACAGTTCTGTAATTTGAGTACAACAGTAGATTCCCTTGTTGTTGGACAGATAAAAAAAAAAAAAACCCGTCATCTCCAATCATCTGGCCATTTTTTTGTATACTTTACATCTAGAAGATCTTATTAAAAACTCTGTTGCCTTTCTTACCAGTGTTTTTCAAAACTTCCATCAGAGCCTATGTTCATTTATTCTCCTGTTACTGGTGGTTCTTTCTCTTTTGTTATCTTAGTCCGAGCTGATGAGTTACCGTCTGATATAGAGAACATTTCCATCAGAAATATCCTGTCTTTTATGTTAATCATGCTTGAAGTGTACCCCCATGCTGAGCTCTTTCAGAACATCATACATTTTGTTGATGTCTTCAGCTTCAATTTCTACACATTAACTTTCCACAAAACTGATCTTGTTGTTGAAATATTAGTTCAAGTTTATAACAATTTTGTTTCCAATTATGATAGGACTAAGGTATTATTGCGGTAATAACAACTGTGAATACTTACTTTGAAAACTTTCACAGCAATCAAAACCACTGTGCGAACTCTTCATTACCGAGTTACAGTACATCCCAGCTTACTTATCTTACAACAAAACTGATCTTGTTGTTGAAATATTAGTTCAAGTTTATAACAATTTTGTTTCCACAGGTTAGATTCCAACTTAATTGGCATAAACAAGACCGTAACGCAACAACTAGTCATTCCTGCCCCTTAAAATCATTAAGTAAAGCTTAACACTGATTAAGTATGTATTAAGTAAGTCTTAATACATTTAATAGTTTGTTTTATCGTAAGCTTGAGGTCAACATTATTGTGAAACCATCATAACGAATGGTGTACCTTTACAAAAAAAGGCATACTGATACCTTTGAATCTCCCGTTTCTTCTTCTTCTTTGTTCATGTCTTCTGCAAAAGGGTTTTTGGAGTCAAAAGAAGCCTCACCAAAAGTACTAGAAGATTCTGAACTTGGATCTATCTGTAATAATCAGTTTTCTTTCAATGACAGTCAAACACTCTCTTCAGAAATTCACGAGTTCCAAAAAAGTGTAACACAATACCAACACGCTTTATTTAAAGACACAGCATTCAAAATTTTCCAAATGAAAAGAGGACTCTTACAAGGATGTATTTGTTTATGGTGTTAATGGGTTTATTCTGTTTTAAGATTTTATAATGATAGTTTTAGCAGTAAAAATAGCTAGGACTAACTTATGTTTATCCATGCGACACATTTTTAGTATTGATTTTTTAATACTTTATAAAATACCCTGTTTCTCGATACAATACACCCATACATATTCATTAAATATCACCATACCGATAAGACAGTTTTCGAATACTGACTCCAGCAGTCTAGACTCGACACATTCCACTAGTTTAGGAATCATACATTATGTGGTAAATTCTTTCTAAATCAAGTAAAACAAATGGTCTATATTTAATTAGACACTTAATGTTTCACTTTACAGTTTCTTCAGAGACGTTTCACCAAAACACAAACTGTAACATTCAAACAGTTTCGGTTTGCATTTTAGTGGAATGCTACTGAAAAAGATGCGAAGCAAAACGTTGAGTGTCTAATTAAGTAAAAAGAACACTTTGGTGTTATAAGGTCATTTATTTCAAGTATTCAAATAACATCTATACCCTAATACGCACAACAGAAGTTATATAAAACAAATGGTCTGGCAAATATTCAAACTAGAAACATCCAACGTTTAGCTGTGAAATGAAAATGGTGGTTTGTGGCATCTTATCTTGAGGACCCAATAAGTAAGGCTAATTTGTCCATTCTTTTAATGATGCACACGAAATACACACTGTTTACAATTTATGGTTGCCTGTACAGATTGTTTTACAATTCCGTTAAAATACAAAAGAGCTTCCATTTTTGATTGTTGCTTTATTGAAACACAATCCGTGTAAGTATTAAAATATAGAATACTTTATGAAAATCCCCCAATCCAGTTGTTTCAAGTAGTTCATCATAACCGTTTAATCAAAACTTCAGGCTTATTGATATTAATATCAGTGGGTTTATAAGGAATTGGTGCAACAACATAAAAAACAAAAACGTGAGCACATCTATCCATAAAGCTGTGAAATTTTAAACTGCTTTTAATGAGACATTGAGTTCTTTTAGGTGATACTTACAAGAGTATTCTAGAAAATAGTATTATCAAAATAGTTCATACACATAGCTTTACATCAGTGTTTATAGGAATCAGTTTTAATGTAGAAAATACAGTATATACATTAACAATTAATTAATCTCATTTCCTGTTTAAGAAACAAATTATAATCTAACTACCAAAAAAAAAAAATAGCCATTTTTTCATACTGACAAAAGCTTGTTTTATTGTATCACGTTTGTGTCTTAGGATCGTGTCAAGTACTTCTTTCATTTCCACTCATTTGTGTCTGATGTGGGCCTTAAGTCGAAACATACGATGATAAAAAACTTTTTTAAAAATGAAGAAGAGCATATTTTGATTTTTTTTGTCTTCAACTCGCAGTGATGTTGATAGACATCCTCAGAAGAGTTACCATATAGTACGATAACAAATAACTAAAGTCTGTCTTAACTCGAATGCTAGTTAGTGAAATTATGAATAACAAGAATTAATGCAGTTTAATTTTATTCACTAATTTAACAACTTTGTTTTACACCTCATTAAGGATTTACCTGTTTAGTTCCTCCCGATGGGGTGATAGGCCTATCAACTCCCTCCATCGTAACTCCCATAAACCTACGTCCAAGGAGCGTTTCAAAATTTGTCGTCCTCTGAATAGAAAACAGCAACAGCCTGACATCTATCTCGTGCACCCTAGCTGCCATTATTTTTTCAAGTTCTCTTCTACAAGATCAACAAACAAATTTTAACTATTAGCTATTAATGATCGTATAATAAAGAAACAGTCGAAAGCGTTCTCGGTCACGTTTTATTGATTTCATCATGCTTCCTTTTTAATACCATAATAACCTACACTTTACTTTATTCCGCTGATACTTCAGTAAGATAACAGTTTTATTACTTAGAAAATTACTTTATTATGGAGTCTACCTGGTTATTTCACAGAATTCCACTGAAATTCTCTCACTCACTTCCCATTCAGGAGGAAATAATCGGCCAAACTTCTCTTCAAACTCTATTAAATGGCGCTTCAGCCAAGCATAACGACGATCAATCTTGTCAAGCCATGCTACCTACAGAGAAAAAAAAAGACTGTGATAAGTTTTCCAGATCTTAAAACTTAGCAAAGATACCCATGTTGTTTATACAACCTTTAATAAGAACTTCTGAATCTAAGCCTCACAACTCTTTATAACATAATTTATTACTGAAAAATACAAAAAAAAAATTGTCACATACATTATAATTTTAGGTACATAAAACTTGTACTGAAGATTATTATTTTCCCAAAACAGAGATAATTCGGAAAATACACACAAAAGCATCAAGTAGATCTTAAATATAATTTGATACCTATAACATTTCTCAATCTAGCATTGTGTACATTTTCCAACACTACATAAAAGTAAGGATTCTCTAGAAACGTCATAGTGTACAGTTATCTAAGCCAGATGAGATACATATATATTGTAGCAATAAACTTTCATTGTCTCATTCACAATCTGCAACTTACACAGAAGCCAGCCAGGAATAACAGTTATATAAATTGTTATTAATTTTACGCTGGACCTATGTCATCTAATGTCACATTCTGGGCAACATACCTCGAAGAAAAAAACATGTGCAAAAGTTATCTACGACAGAGATGAAAATGTTGCGGTGGATGTGTGGAGTTATCCGAGAAAGTGTAGGTGTGACAGTCATAAAAGAAGAGAAACTTTTTTAGCATATTATTAGTACATATGCGCATAATATATCGTAACAAATACTCTGAATGGTTGGTTTTTCACTTAGTGAATTATTTGGCAAAATTTGACGATCCCTACTATTAAGTACTGCCATACTTAATAATAAATACTTATTTAGTGAAGTAGTTCCATTAGGATAAAAAAAATAGGTTTAAGTTTCATTGACAGGTAAGTACTATGTTTCTTGTTGTTCGTGTGTATTCTTAATTTATTATTATAAAAGTAGCTAAAATGTAAAGGTTAAAAACTTTTTAGGTAAAATAAAGAATAATGATAATAAAAAAATTTCACGAGGTACACTTGTGAGCAACTCACAATTAGCTTGGGTGTTATGTAATTTCATAGGGTAACGTGAGCTACACATCTGATTAGTGATTTACAATTTGTGTGGCGGGAATATTAGACATAGTTCAGAGAGCAATAAAACAATAAAATTCAAGCCTAAACAGATGTATACTGTTATGTGTTTAAAGCTATTTAAGATAAACAAATGTAGTTTCATGTTACAATTTGAAAAACAGGAGTAAGTTAGATTTATTTCAAATTTTCTTTGGTGGTTACAAGAACGGTCAAATTGACCAACCTTGTATATAGAGCTAGAGAAGATAAAATAAAATGTTTTACTGAAAAAAAAAGCATTTGAAATTTATTTAAGAAGTTTTTGAGATTACACAAATGAAATTTGAGATTTTTAAGATGAAGAAAAGTATCTTTAATCTTAACACGAAAATCACTTTACACTCAGAGCAGTCAACACTTTGACTCCATATGTTCAAGGAGAAATTTTTAGTGAAAATACTTCATTAAAAATAACTGTTTTTTTTTTATACAAAACACTGAAAACTTGCAAAATTTTGTGAAGATGGACAAAACATATTAGAAGTTAAAGTATGAAAACTATAAAGGTTAATTTGGAGTTACGAGCTTGGCAGAGCCCATACCGAAAAAGTTTATTCAGGTACAATAAACATTCTTGATCATAAACAACTTGGTGTTAAAATAAATATGTAACTTGATGAATCTAAGTTTCAAATGGCCAGCAACTGCCTGTTGTAGAAACCTACAAATGTAGAGCACGATGTTTCGAAAGTCTTCCGCCTTTCATCTGATATTTCCAAGCACGTTCCCTTGGCTGTGGTTTCGCTAGATAGTAGATAGGGACAGTGGGAATCTCGTTATTCCATTCATGCTCGTCACCAATTAGATGACGAGGCATTTGGCTACCTTAAGAGAGTCATAAAAGCAGAAGACTTTCGAAACATCGTCCTCTACATTTGTAGGTTTCAACAACAGGCAGTTGCTGTCCATTTGAAACTTAGATTCATTATGAATACTCTGCCTAAACAACCAATCAAAGGTTATGTAATTTGATATTAATAAAACCCAAAAACCTAATTTCTAAATAAGTATTGATAAAAATTAAAGTTCACAAATTTTAGTGTAGTTTACACCAAAACAACTGATGACATGAACAACATCTCAACCACTACCATATTCATCGTATCTCAGCCGGCTTGATGAGCCCCGATATCGGGCAGAAGGCCTCGTGGTCACTGGACACAGCAGATAGTGTGGTTGGCATATCGTAACATTCTTGTTTCTGTTGACTGGTCAGTTTATATAATTAATACAGTAAATAAAACATCAAACATCGTAGTTATTAAAAGTGATGTAAAAAATAAGATTAGTGTATTTAAATAATTTATTTGCTTTCAATAAAACCGGCTTATGACTTACATCCTGGTTCTCCTGGAATAAGTGCGTGTATTCTGTTAGCTGAAGAGTAACAAACCATTTCAGCAAATCTCGCCTGTAAAAATTTAAAAATACAAAAACAGAAATGTTATTTTTCTAGTAATAAATAACAAAAAAAAAATCTTTTAAATACAAAAAATGAACAATACTTTCATTTGTTTTTCTTTGTATTAGAAGAATAACTTTTATTGAAGCTGCAAAATTTTAAACATCTTTAAAGTATAACACGTAAGCTATACAAAGACCCGATATTAACAAATTCAAATGAATTTAATTTACTTTATAAAAAATTCTGTTTCGGGGAATTTTAGGCAGATACTGATAGTGAAAATATTTTTGAGCACTACGTTGAAGTCTTTTGCCAGTCACCAGACCAGAAGAGGGGCCTTAACGTAACATTCAAAAAATTTAATTACTATTAAGATCCTTAAGGGATTGCTGTTCATAAATAAAGTTCCCGTGTCAGTAAAAAGATGTTTCTAGTGTAGAAATACTTACTTAATTTTAGGATCAAGAATTGAAACTACAAGACATGCTTCCGCAAGCTGTTGACTCGGTGTCAAATTCTGGAAGGTACAAACAATGCACGAGTTATTTTCCTGAAGAAGAATAGTAAACTATTGGAAAGCACTCGAGTTTTAGGTCTCGTTTTAAAACCATCACTACTTTTGTATGTAATCCTGTGTGCTAACTTCTTAATCAGAATCATTAACATGCGAGTTAATGTCAGACGTAAACCATGCGACAGTTTCCAAGAATGAAAAAAACAATAACCTTTCCTCAATTATAAAAACTGATTTAACTTCGCTAAGTGCCTTTTGACCTCAGGAAACTAATGTAAACAATTTTATACATATAGTTTTAATAATTAAACAAAACTGCAGATTTATTATTAACAGATCATGAAATTGTAAACAAAACTCGACAAACAAGTAAAATACATTCCACGTAAAGTGAAATTCTTTACCTTCGCATTAGGTCCTTGAAATGCACTGTGAAAATCTTCAGTTATTTGCTGGCCCAGCTCAATTTTTAAACTCTGAACTCTATAAACAATTATAAAAATCACATTTATTAAATTGTTCTCGCTTTTCTTTTAGAGAAATACTTCACGTTTATAAAACTAAGATCAGGTGGGATTTGAACCTATGACTCTTAAACTACACATATCAGAGGACAAAGTTCAGAAACATGAGCAAAAAAGCAAATCCCAAGAAGTCACAATTTTTACCTTTTCTTCAAATTTCTTCAAGTAAATGCTTAAATTTATGTTACATTTGGTTACAAGTAAACTAGTTTGATAACTCATTTAAAACCATACATTTAAATACTTTTACTTGAGCATGCTCAGAAAGACAGCTTCACAAGTATACCAAACTGGGTAACTTGTATAATAATAGATACATTATCCAAGGAATAAAAACTTAAACATTAAACCTAAAATTCTAAGACAACTCAAACTGGTGTATTTGCGTAGTTCTTCAAATACCTATAGAATGATAGGTTTCTTTTTAGTGAGTGTAAAACACGTAAGT